ATTCAAGAGATAGAGATTCATAAAGAAAGAATTAGATAGAGAGATTGAGACAGATACAGAGATCCAGAGAGAGATATAAAAATACAAAGAGAGACACAGAAATACAGAGAATATCCCAGAGAGAAAGAGAAAAAGAGATCCAAAGAGACAGAGAGAGAGAGAGAAAGAGAGAGAGAATCCCATATAGAGAGAGATATAGAAAACGAGAGAGATAGAACCAGAAAGAGAGAGAACGAAATAGAGAGAAATAGATATAGAGAAATAGAGAGAGAGGGAGAGAACAAAGAGATTTCGAGAACCTGAATTGCCACCAACATATTTGAACCTTGTTGAAATAAGATGATCGGGCTGGAAACGAAGATCCGTGATATTGCATATATCAATTTCAAGAAGAATATTAATTACTAATTCTGATAATTAATATTCAACCACTCGTTTCGATTGCGAAAAAATACAATCTTTATCAATGAGGATTATTAAATTGACTGCTTAATTTTCTCGGGCGCCGCATCTTTAGAAAAAAAATATATATCGACCATGATAGTATTAATAATTAATGAGCATATGAATGAAAAAGATATTAATAATGAAAAATATTTTTTGAATCGAAATCAATAAAAATAACGAAATCTTATGCCATCCATCAGATAGATAGTATAATCCCGATCTATCAATTAGAAATAGCACGAGGCTAATTAAAATATAAATATAGAAATAAAAATAGATATTTTCAGATCGAAACATATATCCAAATATATTTAACTACTTTTTCTACCCATATTTCATAGATATAAATATAGGCCTTAAAAATTTCGTATATATAAATAGATTTTAATTTCTAAAATATATTTTTGAAATTAATGACAAAGAGAATAGAATATCAAAAACCAATAGTTTGATGAAATCGAAAAATCCAAACAGAAGAACCAATCCGAATTTATAAATTCCTCGAAAATCTACGAATCTAAGAAATATATTTCGAAGATATTATCTTTTAAATCATCTTATCAATATCCAATTCTTGGTCTCTATTTATTACCGATCCCCCCTCATCTATCTTATTATCTTAATCTCTCTCGTCTCCCATATCTTCCATCCTCCCATTCCATCCTTTCCTACAAGTCTCCCGCCATCCTCTTCTTATATCCTCTTTTGCCATCTCCTTCGTCCACCTTCTTCTTCAATTTTTTTGTTGCCCCCTCCGTCCTCCTCTATTTCTACTTACCTTTTCCATCCCTCATCTATCCTCCTCAACCATCTAACCTCTCCCTCCATCCTTCCTTTCCATCCATCTCCTCCATTCCCTTCCCCCATTCCCCCTCTTCGTCCGCCTCCTTCATTCGCCATCCCCTTACCCCATCTTCTTGGCCACCACTTTAGCAATAGACGATAAAGATTCATGTGTGTCGACCACACCCCCTCGTTCCATGGTCTCCATACCATCTCTTCCGTTCCATCCTCCCCCTCCATCCCCATCCTTCGCCTAATCCATCCCATCTTCTCCATCTCTTCCATCCCGTCCCTTCCGTCCCTCCCCTGCGTCCCATCCCCTCCACCGAATACTCTCTGCCGACGACCACCTTCCGTCTCGTCCCTTCCCTCCCATCCCCTCCTTCCCACCCCCTCCGTCCCGTCCCCTCCGTCCCGCCCCCCCCACCCGTTTCTTTCACTCCGTCCAACCCACCACATCCGTCCGTCCTTCCTCTTGTTTTTCACCGTGCCGCTCGTGTCCGCCGTGTTCTTTCTGTGTGCTCCCCTCCATGTCCCCCTGAACGTCCCTCCCCCAAAACCTCTTCCATGTCCCCCTCCGTGTACTCCTCCGTGTCCCCTTCCGTGCATGTCCTCCATACCGCCTCCTCCGTCCGTACCGTCCCGTCCCCTCCGTCCCGTCCCTTCCCTCGCGTCCCCTCCTTCCCATCTCCTCGTCCCGCCCCCTCCGTCCCATCTTCTCCGTACCCTCTCCTAAATCCCAGCCCATCCGTCCCGTCCCCTCCGTCCCATCCCCCTCCGCCCAATACTCTCTGCCGACGACGTAGGCAGGCGCAGCATTTCCGGTTTGGCCGGAGGCATCTTGACGACCACCTCGTCGCTGCTGGCATAGCCACCGGAGCCTTCTGTGCGCTAGCCGCGGCGTCCCCGCCCACGTCCCGTCGCTCCGTCCCATCCCTTCCCTCTCGTCCCCTCCTTCCCATCCCCTCCGTCCCGTTTCTTTCACTCCGTCCAACCCGCCACTCCTCCTCCGTTTCTCCCTCCATCATCTCCCTCCGTCCCTCTCCGGCACCGAATGTTGCTCAGTTGCGCCTTGCTGCAATACTGAAACCCGCATGTCCGGAGAAAAGACTTCTCGGTACAATACACTATGCGTGAACAAGTTGCCATCGCCGAAGAAGACAGTCAGCCCGAGACTGTAACTTTCCCAGAAATTTAGAGGCGCGACGGCTCCCCAAGCCGCACGAAAGGACAAATCCACGAAACGCAACTCCCAGGGCCTTAAATTTCCGAGAAATTTACAGCGCTGGGAGAGACATTCGCAAAGCCCTCCCGAGCCCCTGAATGTTCCAGAAATTTAGAGGAAATGCTGGCCCGAAGGGTGGCCACACGAAAAAGGGTGAGTTGCAACGTTTTGTTTTACAGAGTAGATAAAGTAAATGAATAAAAAAACGATTTCAAAATTCTATTTCTAGCCTTCGATTATTCTTGGTCATCGTCGTTATTATTCTCGTATCGTCATGTTCATATCAGATATGATTGTACCTTTCTCTCGTATCTTTCGCGGCAGCGCTAGCCCTCTAGCCTGGAATTCTATTTCTGTGATACCTATATTTCAAATTTGCCCTAGTTTGTGGGCCTGAAACGATGTAACACGATGTTGAACTATCCGAGCTTTTTGACCTCCTGCGTGCGTGTCTAGGATCCTTCACGCGAAAATCATATGGTGAGGGCGATCATAACCAACCGCTGAATTCGCTAGCTCTACCTAAAATAAAAATAAATGGTGCACCTCCTTGCGCCGGATGACCATCGAAAGGCAACAAAGCAGTCTAAATTTGCCAGGCATCCAGCGCAAAGCAGGAGCTGCTACTGTTCAGCTTTGGAACTTTGTCCTCTTCTGCCTCCAAGTGTGCCCTGCCTGCTTCTGAAACGTAGCGCCCTCGAGGGGAAGTTGCATCAGATCGAAGAACAAGCGGAGCTCATGAACTTTCATATATGTTGATGCAATGTTCACCAGAACAGAGGATGATCGCAAGAACCGGCACAAATGGACAATGGAGATGATCTGTCTGTCTCCACAAACAGCCATCAAAGAAAAAATGGGTCTGGCACTGGGCCGTGTGCAGCAGTGCCGCTAAAACTGCAGCAAGAGCTGGAAAGGGCTGCTAGGCACTTACAAGTGCTCACAGCAACAGCCGAAGCTGCAAGAAGCAATAAAAAATGGACGGATTGAAAGAGTGCCGATAAGTCTGCCGATTTGACCTTCCTATACCTTCCTTGTTGTGATCACTCACTTTTCAGCCTCTCAGCACTCCTTTGTCGATGCAAACACGGGAGGGCCGCAGCGGTCCTGAAAATGCTTCGCATGAAGCTATGGCGCCTCTTCATGCTAAGCAATACCGGAGCAAGTCGGAGCAAGCAATTCTGGAGTAGTCTCTTGCCTGTGCTTGACTTGACAATCCTCCACGGCACATTTTTAGAACAGGCTGATTATCCTGGTCTTCCCAGCTACTTCTCCGATGAGTACACAAGAGCCAAAGACTGCCTCACTTTATTAAGGTTCGCATTGCAAGCTCCATAGGGCAAGCGCGGGCTCAACCCGGAAAACTGCCAAGCAGCATCGACCGAAGCAGATAGACCTAACCTCTGCTCCGCTCCGCTGCATCAACTGGACAAATCTCTTGCAGTGCTCCGCGGGTAGACATGCGACGACTTGAAAGGCAGAAGCCTGCCCATGCTCTCCTGACTAGTAAACTGCATCTGGTTCAAGCAGCCGAGGCTTGCTTCAAACGGTCTCCATAAGCTGTGGCGAAAACTGCGTACAGACAGGGACAAGTAGGGCCCAGACCGTTTGCTTGCCGGTAATGCGAACATGCCGCGCTCTGGCATCATTTGCTATTTGTGCCTTGCATGCTGCACAATGATCCATATGAAAGCGCTGCGCATGTTGAGCTTCAACTTCGAAACCAAGTGCCGGACTACGCCGGTTCTGAATTCCAGGTAGTAGTGCCTAGGAGAACTCGGATCTGCACGGTTGATGCCGAGCATCTGTTTGAACCGCAACAACCAGGTGCTGCAAATTGTTTGAAGGAGGTGCTGAACGTGGCCAAATAATGGTGTGCACTCGGACGATGACAATTTGCTAGCGCTACCATCAAAGCTGTCATTCGGTATTCAAGCCGCCACGCATCGTTGCAAACAAGGCACCAGTGGCAGGAGCCCGCTGAGATTGCAAATGAGGAGCAGGAAGGCGTAATTGGTGAAATCCTGATCATGTTAGCTGCATCCAAGGCTGGCAGTGGGAACAGCTGTGGAAGCAGTAGTGGCAGCGGGAGCAGAAGCAGGAGCAGCAGCAGCTTTTCTCATTGTCTTCGACCTCCTGTCTTTGCCATTGTCGCCTTCGTGGTCGGCGTCGAGGTCGTAATGATGATCTTGTCTTGCTACCGCCGGGTGGTAAGTTTGCTAATGATGCCAGAAGGGACAATACTCAATAATCCAGGCAGTGATCGTCATCGTCGTGTTGATGACCTGATCGCCTGTAACCTACTGTTTTCGTGCATCTGGGCTCCAGACCGCGTCCGTGACCTCGAGAATGTGGGTGAGCCAAGCCCCGAGGCTGGAGCTCAGAAAGCTGGCAGCGTTCAGAGCCGACATGAGCAGCCTCAAAGCAAAGCAGTACAGATCTGTAATAATTGTAATAATAACAACAATAACAGTAATAAAGTTACAGAAAATAATAACAATATACTAAAGTAGACTCAGGGGGGTCTGAACTCTCTGGTCCTGACATTGCGTGGCAGCACGTCGAACGTCGTTGATGGCGCACATGAGCAACTTCACCGAACACATCTGAGCTGCTGGCGCAAAGAGTGTCGCCTGGCGACTAGGGGCTGGCACTTTTTTGCTGCCCAACCCACTCCCCCGTTCCCGACTGGCCCTTGCGGGATGTCAGAAAAATTCCTACAGCATATCAAAGCCATGTTCAGGGCAGTCGCTGCATCCCCTTTTGGCCGGACAGTTGATTAGATTGCGATGCCCTGCTCCGGCCTCGATTCCACGCGGGCACAGCTGCGCGGCAAGCACCAGGATGGGCATGTGAGCGAGCTCCTCATTGGGAGCAGCGTTCAAGGCGTGGTTGTAGCTTGACCGCCTAACCTGCGGTTGCTTGGTCGATGCTTTTTCGCCCACGAATACTTGCCGGTTTTGCCCCATGCTGCGGCGTTCACAGCAGGCAGATTACACCTGAGGATCCGACACCTGCTACCGTTTGGATGACATCGTCGCCTTTCGATGTATGCATGACGGACTGCTGGGGCATCACAGAGAAGTCAGAGTAGTGGTATGGCTCTCCGTGTGTTGCAGGCCAGTCGCCGAGCACAAACATCTGGTCCGGGATGTTCAGGGCTAGATTGGCGCCTTGGAAACAAGATTTGGTTCCAGAATATTATTATAGTTATTATTATTGCTATCTTCATGAATTAGTTGTGATTAATCCTTTTAACCTCTTCTCTTGGGGCCCTGCGGGTAGCCAAGAGGATTGGCAGAAATCCGAGCGTGACAGCTGTCACCTGTATCCCTCGGCGGTGGGAATTTCACTTCCGAGGTGTTGCTGCACTGTTAGGGTGTCTTTGGGTGTGTCTTGCTCTTCTTGTTGAAGCCGTTGTCCTCACTCCATTGGGTGCTCTTCCTAGTTGTTGATTGTTGCAACTTCTGGCTTGTTGTTATTGCTGCTGCCGCCTCGGCTTCTGCTTCTGCTGGTGCTGGTACGACTGCTGCTGCTGTGTTGTTGTTGCTGTTTTGGAGGTGCTGGTGGTGGTGGTGGTGGTGGTGGTGGTGGAACTACAGTTGCTTTTGCAGTTAATTGCTGCTGCTGCTGCTGTTGATGTTGTTGTTGCTGCTCCTTGTTGTTGTCGTTGTTGTTGGTGGTGGTCGTGATGGTGCTGGTGCTGGTGCGGGTGCTGCTACTACTGCTGTCGATGCCTTTTGTGCATTGGTGTTGTCGCGCTGCTTCCGATGATGATGGTTATGGGCACCATGATGCTGATGGCTATGATCTGCGGCGACAAAGCATACACATCATGATCATTGTGGTGATGGTGGCGATACTGATGACGACGATGATGATGATGACTTTAAGACCATCGTCGTTGCTAGAAGTACTATCCTTTTTCGTGCTTGTTGCTATGTGTTGTCTGGGGCTCCGTGTTCCAAACAGTGTTTGCAGACACTAAACTGCTAAGCTGTCATACGAGTCGAAACACACTGCGCTGCCACCCATAGCATTGAGGAAGGAACGCGACAAGTAGTCCTTGATCGGCACGGAAGAGAAAACACCTCAATGAGCTGTGCGTGGCCGCGGACGCTTGCTTGATCGAGCAGGTCTTGCATCATGTACCCTGTGACCGACCCAACGACAGTCTGAACGCCAACAGGCAGTGTGCAGGCTCTGGTTTCAGGAATTCAGCTGCGGGCGGTTGTATAGAACGATGCCAGCCAAACCTTATTTGCAGACGCTTGTTCGAGGGAGTGTAGGGCTTGTCAGGGCGACAGCACTGATAAGATTATTCAAAACTGTGCAAAGGCATGTCATAAACTAGAAGGCATAAACTCTTTGTGTTTACCATTAACCTCGCTTCGTCTGGAAGTGACTGCTAGCATGTCATGCAGCGGCAGCTGCACCCTTACGGCCGTACTCCCTCATGAACTTCAAAAATGAGCAGGTGACTCCGGCATGCGGGTGGTCTCAGAAATGGAACTCCACCCTAGCCATTGCGAATGAGCTGTAAACGCTAAACCCGAAACGGATCTAAAAGGACACTGATCCCGCAGGTGCTCATCTCCCATCTCCAGGCTGCCCGGCTTGCCAGTGAACCCACGAGCTGAGAGCGCCCCAAGAATTCTGGATTGAAGTGGAGCTCGTTGGTGTAGAAGTAGAACGTCCTTTGCTCAAGAGTCTCTACGGATCCTTGACAGTGAGGGTGTCGTATGGTCAAGGAGAGTCTGCTATCTGTGGTAGGCTTTCATTTCTGCGGCCATGGCACGCTGAGCCCGCTGTCGGAGTGGCCTGTGCGAACATGAAACGAACAGCACGGTGGACGGAGATGGGCCAACAAAAGTCCCAGAGTTCGGGCGGGTTCCCGGCAGAGAGAAGTGCATTCATGACATTTCATAACTTCATGACGCCTGCAAAACGTCAGCTCTCTCGCCTGCCATGCCAGGATGAAGCAAACGGCAGGGAAGACCTCCGGTGATCGAATCACCTGCAGCCGGGCATGGATATACACAACATCGCCACTTATGGGTGTATGATGGTGTATGTATGCATGTACGGTCTTGAACGAATGCAGCTACGTACAAGGTCGCAGCTGCATTTCGGCATAATTTCAAACTTTCGTTGGGAAGATAGGCAGCATCACGAACATCATGAGGCGCTTTGCCGTGCGGCGAGGAAGCCTTGAACCCACTCAGAAAGAAAACTTGGACTGGTCTGGTGCATGGGTGGAAAATAAGCACCCTACACCAGTCGGAGTTCCTGGTCTCGGGCGACCGTGTTGTTGAAGATTTTTGAAGCTTCCGTGGGCTTTGGTATGGCTTTTGGCGTATCAGAGGCGTATCAGACACGGAGACACAATTATTTTGACCACATCGGCTGCTGTTGTGCTGCTTACAAAACAGCCAGAGTGCAACAAATGCCAGCACGCACGGAAACTGTGCCCGGTTGACAAGTCTTGGGCGGATGGCGGTCAGCAGGGCCAACACATGTGCATGTGAGCAGCATGCTTCTGTGGGATCTTGTGGGAGCTTGCATGGTATTTGCAGCACTTCTGAACCTTTCACCATCATTCATCAAGTTTAGCAAGAGTGAACACCATGCTACGCCCCGCATCTGCAAGCATCGGGAAAGAGATTGACAGTGCTTTCGTGCAGTGTGAAGACGTTTCTCAACACAATTGGCATCTTTTCGCGGGGCTGCTTCAAGATTTCGCGCTGAATATTCCTTCTTCACTGTTTGCCACGCTCGTTCCTGACAGATACAAACCTTGGCGGGAAGAAGGATAGCTGCAGTGGACTATCCAAAGCCTTGAGTCCAACATTTTTTGCTTCCCTGCAGATTCGCCGTAAGACTCTAGAATTATACCGCTTCGGTCAAGGCAGGTTGCGACTGTTTCGCAGAACATAGCAGAGCACTTGAAACCCCTGAAAGAACACACATGCTTTTGCCTAGCCACTTGAAATACGATCACAAACCATGCATCACTTGCCACCATAACAATTGTGACAGAGAGTTTAGACCTCATCCAGACAAGAGCAACCCTTGGGTTTCCTGTGCGAGGCGGTGCACGTAAATCAAGATACTAACACTACAGAACTAGGTTTGCCTGCTGCCTTTGCAAATTAAATAAGCGAGTCTCGCCGTTTGTTGCAATACTGGACCCTCCTGCTCGTCCTCCTGCTTCACCTCTCCTTTACCCACTTCATCGGCTCTGCTGCCAAGTGCTGAGAGTCAGTGTTCAGATGTCACCACTGCGACTGCTGTCATTTCCACTGCCCAATATAATGGCGTTAATGTCAGCTGTGGCAATTGCTGTCCTGCTAGAGACGGCTGCTACGATCAGCACTACATCACCATGGGCTGCAGCTTCTTGTCCTGTTGCTGCGCATCCGACGTCGGTTCGGCTATAACCACCGCTCAGGATTAGCGATTAGTCCTTGATCTTTATTCGTGGCTCTTGCTTCATTCATCCTCGTTGTTCTCTTCATGCTTATCGCCAGTTATCTTCCGCATCATCATCATCATCATCACCACCACCATCACCATCGCCATCATCATAAATACCTATCAGACACCGTGGTGATACTCGCACGAGATACTGCTGCGATTGCAGCAATTTACACGTCGGATGTTCAACAAACTGCTACGTGTTTGAAGGCCGCGCGACATCGCATCTGGTGCGACCCCTGCACGCGTGCGTATGCATGAGTGCTCTCATTGCCACTGGTAAATCTTGCTCGTTCTCGCTCTAGCACAGTAACTAGTGATGCCGACGACGTCCATGACGACTACGACGACGACTACTATGACTACTACCGCCACCACCGCCAGAGCCACCACCACCGCCACTACCATGACGACGACGACGACGACGACTACTCCTACTCCTAGTCCTCCTCCTACTCCTACTCCTCCTCCTGCTCCTACTCCCACTCCTACTCAGTCCTACTCCTACTCCTACTCCTACTCCTACTCCTACTCCTCCTCCTCCTCCTACTACTGCTGCTGCTGCTACTACTGCTACTACTGCTACTACTGCTACCAATTACTACTGCTACTAGTACTACTACTACTACTACTACTGCTGCTGCTACTACTACTACTACTACTACTACGACGACTACTACGACTACGACTACGACGCTAATACGCATCGATATAGAGCGGTAGCTGATCTTGACCACGACAACAAGGGCAAGGTCAACATATTCTTCCCCACCCTTTTCCCTCAAACGATGCTTGCAGGAGTGCTGGCCTCCCACACCTGTTGGCCGAGCTGCTTCGCCTCAAACACTTGGCATAGTAAAGTATACTAAAGCGCAGTAGAGTAGAGTACAGTACATTTGCTCGTTTTGGATGTCAACAAATCTTGTTTGGTACCTGGTACCTGTTGCAGGTTGCACTGACTCGAATTTAACAGGGCGGGACTGAGAGGGAGCGTAGTTAGACGAGGGGAACAAGGCGACAGTCACAGAGTCGAGAGAGTAGATGCCATCTCATGGCGGCTACAGATTGGCTGGTCTTTCAACACGAGCAACCTCCATGGATGGCCGATTTCTGAACATGCCTGCCGGCTTCGCATCTCTCGGTGCCTTCTACACTTTCGGCTCCGGCCTGCTCTTGGATACCACAGGCAAAACGCCATCCAAACTCAAAGCTGCCCGGTAACGTGAAGCGCTGAATGCTCAACCGCAAACCCGGTCGCCGATGCCAAAATCACGCAAATGGAATCAGACCTATGAACATGAAAGCCACATCACCGGCATCACACGTTTGTCAAGAGCAGCTGTTTTTCGTCAGTGCAAGGCCTCGTCCCAGTCAAGGGAGTAGCTGCTACCAGGACTCGGTTGAGCCGGCTCTCGAATCAGCACCTGCCCGACAGTGATGACGGCATGAACATGTTGTGGCATCCACCCTCAATCTGCTGCAACTGTGCCTTTACTGCACTACGCATTCGTGCCCTTCATGAACCGAACCGGCCTACGCCTACCATGCACCCAAGGCTGAAGGAATAAACTCACGAGCAACAATGGCATTTGGGACTCTGGCTCTCTTCTCAAATTATCTTCTCTTATCTCTTCTCCGAGTCACTCTGATCTCCTTCTGATCCTTCCTGTTGATTTCTCCTCCTGATCTCTTCTTCTGATTTACCTTCCCGATCTGTTTTCTCCTGATCCGGCCAGTATGGATGCCGCCTTAACGCGCCCTGACTGGGAAGGCCGCCGAATCCAACTAAACACTTCAGGCACCCTCCAGAACCACTTCGATAAAGCCCCCCCAAAGGTTGTCACAACATCACACACCAAAAAAACGTCAGAAGATGCGGGTCTCGGCAGCGATGCAAAAAAACTCCTTCGTCTTGAGAGGCTCTTCAGCTGGCAAGTTCGTTGTGGCACGGGCTCCGGGAGGACGAAGCCTCTTTATTTGGCTTGTGGGGACAGCTGCAGCAATTTCCGGCTGAAGGTGTCCCGATATCAGCTTTCCCATGGACTCCATCCACAGCAAGCTGAAAGAAACATTCTGCCGCCTGGCCCCGCTCAGCCACCCACCCATCAAACGCTTCAGAGCTTTGAGGGATTCATGGCGCACCGCCGCCGTGGCGGTCACTGATAGTGTAGCAAGCAGCACCCGAAACTGCAACTCCTTGTAAGATCACTGCTGTCTTTCGACAGGGCACATGTGTGTTCAATCCACCCATTTATTCGCCTATGGGTCCGACTAAGTGGGCAGTCAGTTCGCCGCGTTGAAGCTTCTCCATGACACATTCCTTATATCTCGGACTCGAGCGGGGCTTCGTGCTTCGGGCTCAGCTGGCACTTGCTTTCTTGAGCCACCTTCCCTGGCTACCACAAATATCGTGCAAGGGGCACCGCGGCAACAATGACGAGCAGCGGCAGCAGCGCTGTCACGGCGAAGACTTTCTGAACCTCATGGTGCAGGGATCTTGAGCCCAAGTTCGTCACCCGGTAGATTGTTATCATGAGACTCTCGACATGCATGCACATGAGCGTGAGCAAGATCAAACTCTAGGAAATCTCATTCCAGTTGGCAAAGGTTCTGACCGATTGTCGTGGTCTCGCTTCAGCATGTCCAGTCACACGATTATCCGACATTCTGTAGCACCGTCGCGACTAAGCTCGCTCCACAGGCTTCGGCAGAAGCATCCGAACAGTCTACCCTTGTCTCTGACTCACATGACAGGCCTGAGCAGAAACATCCATGCCCCTCACCAAACGAAGACGATTGACACCGGAGCTTGTTTTCGGGAGACGGCCTCGTTGGCCCCCATAGAGTATCGTGAGCATTTTTTCATGTCATCATCATCCTCATGACCATCACCATCATCACCATCATCATGCTCCCTCTCGCACCGCGACGATGAAAGTGATTGGAAGCTGTTTCGTCCACTCCAACCTCAATGATATCCTCTACTGACCCGAGCTTTTTCAAACTGGGGCCAATGCTCCGATCATTTCCAACAGAGCTCCACTGAAATACCTGGGATCAGAACACGCGGTTCAGCTCAAGGCATGCTGGCAGGGAGACTTTGCCTGGCAGGTCCACGGCTTATTGTTTTTTTGTGAAAGTCCTTGGGTGATCATTGGTCCCCTTGCAATGCCTGCAACCTCAAGGATGAAGAGAAGCAACTTAAAAACCGGATCACATGGTGTCAAGTGGCGCTGACAGGATGGCCCCAAAGCCTCGACAGGCCCAGCCTTGGATGCGAGAACTATCGGCAATGGTTCCGGCTAGGACACTCGAATCTCCTCCCATCACTTCCCTAGCTTTTCCAAGCTTTTTTTGTCGCCTCCAGCCTGTGTTGGCTGAGGGAGTGCTTTGGGAAGCGAAGGGTCCTGTTCGCCAGACTCAGAACGGCGTGGGGCAGGCAGATCAGGAGGCGGCAGAAAGGCCTGGAATCGGGCACGCCGGCAAGACATTCGCTCCACCTGCCGCAGCTGTGCGTCGCTGTGAGGAAACTGACCAGCACCTCCGACTCCACACTCGACGCGATGGGAATGGAGACGATTGAAGATTTCCACTGCTTCTGTAGGGGCAAGCTGCCACAACAAACAAAGCATGGAACATGCCACGATGCCTGTGCGGCCATGCCCACCGTAGCAGTGTATATACACTGCCCGGGAAGCTCTCAACTCTGCCAGAAGGCACAGGAGTAGCTGGAGAAGCTTCTCGTCTTCACAGGTGCCCCCATCCACCATGGGGCATGACAAGAACCTGAGCTCTAAGCCCACTCGTCTTGCTTGTCGTTGTGGCCCGTGCAGTTCGCGGTACCTTCCTTCTGCAGCCTTCTGGAAACTGTTGAAGCAGTAGGCCTTTCCACGAATCTCAGCTTCCTCTGTGAGCGACACAAAAGTGTTGATTCCCGCATCCAGAATGCTGTGAAGCTTTGCCAGGCCTTCTTCTGGGGACTCCCCTTGTGAGCCCCTCCCCTTGGGCAGCCGGAAAGGCCACCCACCCACCAGAACACAGCCTGGAACGATCCAGTTACTCTTGTCATGGGGTCCTCGGGCCCACCAAGCGTCGGCCAGCAACGCTTGGAAAGCCCCGAGCTTTTCCAGCACTTGCCGAGGCCAGCGGGGCAATTCATCCTCGGGATAAGCCTCTGTGTCTGGGAGATCTCCCGTATAGCTTGCTGATTTTGCATTGGTTGCAGTTGTGCCAGCACATCGCGCGCCCGGCTGCATCACCAACTTGCACACATCTCTCTACCACTGTTTCTTTCGTTGCTGGGGGTTTGCAATTGCAAAGGGTAGGGAGCCAAGGGTGCGCACAAACACGAAACTGCTGGGGCTTACTAGGAGATATTGCCGCAGTCTACCGTTGACTATGCGCGCTTTCACCAAAAGCTGGCATGCATCCAGCCTTGACCGCAGCAATCAAAAGCCAATTCGCTGTTTGGCCCCTCTATGAATAGAATCAGCTTTGGCAAAGCACGAGCACCAGTGATCACGATAAATTCGGAAAGCCACCATGATGGCAACAACAAAAGCCCAGCTGCCCAAGGCTGAGCTATAGGTAAACCATGGTAAACCCGAATCCTCACAGCCACAAAGGGCCAGGGACCCCACTGTGGAATCCAAGAGAACCCTATTATAGAATCCAATAGTACCCTTTAAGAGCCGAGCTGAAAGATTGAAGGCCGCCCATCAGCTTCGGATCATCCCGTGCCTTTTCCACCACCAACCTCGAGCTTCGGGCTTTCGCTGGCTTCATTACCCTCCGCTTCGGCGCACGTCAGCGTGGTTTAGAGTTAGAGTTTGGCGTCCGTGACAGTCTTTAGGTTTTTGGGGGCGAAGCAGGCCTGTGCCTGCGCATTGCCAGCAGAATTCGGAGTCTTCGGTTTCGGGGCTTGAGTGTCTTGGGAGCACATTGTTTCCGGGAGTCCAGTGATGGCTTCCGCGAGCTGTGCTTCAGGAGCTGAAGAGCAGACTCTAGCGCTGAGCCGTCAGCCCATCCACGACCACGTCGCTGAAAGCTATGCCGAAATTGCCCATCACCATGAACAGCAGGGTCGCCTGCATTCTTGCAAGGCGTCTATGAAGCTCCCCGTCGCCGCCTTTTCAACACTGCACTCTTTGCAAACTTGCCCCGGTAGCTCTCGGGGGCCCCAGCTGTCAAGTTTTCAAGCGATTCTTTATGCAAAGCATATCCCCAGGCATTCAAATGCCCCGAGGAAAGCGAGTCCGACAAGAGGCCGCGAGGACCTGCGAGCTTCTCCACCGATCCGGAATCTGGCATGCTCAAGCCTAGACCGGAGGCCGTAGACTAACGACTCCTCGTTCCTTATTCTCGATACGACGACCTGCATACTTCTTCCTCCTGTCAACATTATTGTTACTGCTGTGCTGGGTTGTTGTGATGAAGCACATGGTGTCCTTCATCCACGTGTGCTCTCATTGACTCTCCTGGTTCTTCTTGTTATTACCATCAAGGCTGTGCTGATTTCAGTATAGTTCTTATTTGAAACACATGTTGCTGTGCAGTGATTCCCCGGCTCACTCTGCTTCGAGGCCTTGGCACAGCGTTCGCAGATTGAACATGAGGACGTTCGGAATTCAGCATGAAGGCGTGCGAAGGCAAATGTTTTGAAGGGCCAGGCATTCAACTTTAACGGTTGTCTCGCTGTAGTGGGGACACTGGATACTTTTTCTGGATGTGACACACTCGGGATAACTTCAAGCATGCTTGCACACAGCTCGTTGCAAGTGCTGTGAGAGTACAGCCCTCCTGAGTGCTTGCATCTTGGCAGCAGACACTCTCCTGTCGTCTTCATCATCCTGGCCGTAACCTGGCAAAGCTCTCTGCGTCTGGACGAAAACCTGCTAGTGCGGCTCACTGTCGCCCGCCTTGTAAGGGTCGCAGTTGGCAGCTGGACGGCGATCTTCCATGTAGCCTCTACCGGGTCTACTTACGCATCTTACGCAACTTTTTTTTTTTTGGGGGGGGGGNNAGGGGGGGGGGGGCACCGTAGAAACTCGCGGCCACCGGTGGCCTTTGCCGCTCTTCTCCGTCTCGCGCGGGATGCGGATGGAAGCACCGCGGTTTGCGACTCCATACTTGAAGTCAGTGATGGCGCAGGTCTCATGCTTGCCTCCGCAGGGTCTCTGGGTGTAAAGCTGGCTCATTGCCACACGCAGGTGCATGGACCAAGGCTGTCCGGCCTGTGAGGCGCTTCTCATTGCCTCCGACGTGCAGGGTGAAGCTTGTGACTGGATCTCACGTCAACCGTGATGCCAGCTCCCACATGGGAGCCGTGTGTTACAGCTTTCAAGGCCAAACCCAGCACACTGACGTCCATTTTTGAGTCTTCGACCAAGGACAGCGGAGTTTCTGGAACACCCAGACGCGCTACTTGTAGCAGCTTTGCCGGTCATGGAAAGTGCTTGAGCTTAAGCCAGGCTGCCTTCTCCGTACTCGGCAATGTGCTCGGCGGCAACCTTGCCGAAGGCCTTCGCGCTCCACCAGGGCTTAGAATGCATGGAAGCCGGAAGGTGTGTTGTTAGGCGGGACAAAGTCATGTACAATGAAAAAATCTCAGGCCTCGCAAACTTTTATGATGAGCTCGTAGCCGCCTTCCTGCAGCAATGCTTAAGTGCATAGGTGATCGGACAAAATGTTGAAGCCTGCTAACTAAGCTATCTCACTACTCAAGAAAACCCTGTGATGGCTTTCAAGACTCCAAGTCCAAGGCCCTCTAACAGAATGACCCTCGTGCCTCACGCATTGGCGTGACAGAAAAGTTCGTGTGGCAGCCGGCACCATTCCAGTCCTCTGCAAAATGCTACAATACTTAGCTACCTTTCATAATCAATTACTCACTACTAATTTATTACCACTGGAACTGATTAATTGCTCTAATCACGTAATTAGATCTTTGCACAGTGCCCCAGGAATTTCTCTGAGCTCGGCTCACCCTCCATTGGCTTGGGCGAGAAAGAGCACACGCAGCTGTGGCTCTCGGTGATCCGCAGCATGATGTAGCCTCGCGCGGAAGTGAGGAATGAGAGGGAATAGTGGCGCCCTGCTTTTTCTGCTAGGCTTGAAGTGTAGTTCTGAAAGACTGAAGCACCTGCTTATCGAGTAGACACGACGTAATCCGACTGGCCCTGCAGCCCAGTTTCGCGCAATGGTGAGATGATCTCCCATCTCCACGCCCCGGCAAGGCCCAACTTGGAACTCCCACTGGCCAGGCATGACCTGAAGAGCGAAGACGGGTATTGGTAGCTGCTCAAGCTAGTGATTAGGTCGTTCAAGTGCCAAAATAGCAGGGCACCGTTCGTGGACTGAGAGGCACCGGCCTCTGCGTTGACGCCAGCGATTTTAACGCCAGCCTGAGGGTCAGCCATTCACTAGGCCGCTCGGTTGTGTCGGTGATTGCCTGCAAGGCCACTGCAAGGCCTGCAAGCACTTCATGTAGTGCTCCTCCGCGACGGGCCGGCCAATGGCAACGCCGAAGCCTGGCAGAAGCACTGTACACCCGCTGGCATTGGACACCCGCTTCATCCCGGTTCTGGTGCAGTGCCAAGACCGAAGACTTCTGAAGGTTTCGGCAGCCTTCGGGAGCAGGGAAGTCTCTTTGCCCTCAGCAGGCAGACTGGAGGTATGCTGCGACCGTGAAGGGAAAAGCGTTTATTGCCGACTCCTGGCGCTGCCTGCAAACGGCGGCAGCTGATATCGCACTTGGGTGCACATGCCGGCCAGCATGTGGCGAGCATGCACCAAGAGCTGCAATAGTGCATGTCGGCTGCGAGGCAGCTTCCTTGCAACGCGATGTGCGTGAGCTTCCATGCCTGCTGTCCAGGCTGCACAGGTCCCCTCGTGCCACGCTGGAGCTTCGCCCGAGCGACACGAAGGGCTTACGTGGTTGGCCGCGAGCCCTGGGGCTGGCCTCGACTTACTTCGCCATCGGGCAGTTCTTGCCGCATGGCCGCACAAGTCCAGGGCAAAAAAGACACTTTCCAATCCCACGGTCTCGGCTTCGACGGTGCCGTGGCTGCCGTGGCTTAGGAGAAACTCGGCTTGCTGCCACTGGCGTCCCTTGGAACAGGCCTCCAGGGCAGCAGCATTCGCCACCAAGCTAGGGGATCCTGTGCTATTTAGCCAAGCCCGGAGGTGGAGGACCAACTCCCATCGCCCGGCCTTGCTGCAACAGCTCATGGCTGCTGCAACAGGCATCGTTGCTCCGGCAGCCCTGGCAGTGGAGCCCAGCTCCCGAAGGAGTTGGGCCCCTCCTCCAAAAGCCCGACCATGCAGCATTCGGAGAGCCAAATCCCAGTTTCGACTGTATTCACAGGAACTGATGACAGCTCCGCAAAGCAAAGCGCTTGGCTTGACACGGTTTGTTGTTAGGCTGTGTGCCAAGGCGATTGCATGCTGCCATTGCTGGGATTTCTCACACGCACTGACCGCCGCGCAACCGGCACTTACATCAACGAGGCCCGCCTCTAAGGCAGCCTGGGCCGTGTAGCAAGCCAAGGCCCACTGTGAGCCACGCTCACAAGCTTTCAGGACGGCACCCAGAGAGACCAAGGCGCCCTGTTCATCGCCTGCTGGCACCGCTGATCGGGCCTGCTGTGCCAACTCCAATCCAAGTTGCCACTTGACTCCAAGAGAACAAGCAGAGCTTGCTGCTGTGAGAATACGGGAACTGTCGGGCAATCCCTGCAGACTCGATTGACGCACGAGTTCCACCGCAGCCTGCCATGCAGCGCCGTAGGCGCAGGCTGAAATCACGGCATTAAAGGAGTACGAATCTGGTGCTGTCGGGACCACTCGTCCGTCTTGACGCCCAAGCTTTTCTGGCGGCGAAGGAAGAGTCAGTTGGTTGAAAAAGAGGAGTGAGATCGGCCACGTGCTGTGTCGGGCGCACGCGCTGATGCTAGTATTCAGGAGCTGCAAGTCTGGGGTCAAACTCTTGCTCCAGAGTTCCTCAAACAGCTCCGAAAGGGCTTGCCAACCTCCTGCCCGTATAATCGGATCGATCATCGTGTTGTATGTGACCAGATTCGGACCGACCAGGCTATCAGACATATCCCTCAAGAGATCCAAGGCTCTCAGCCACTGCTCTGCCTTCACACAAACGCGCAGAACTGTAGTATAGCTTACGACATCCGGTGAGACACGTGTCTGCAGAGGACTTCTTGAAGTCCTGCGGAGAAGCACCAAAGCTTTTTCCCAAGCCTCTGCCCTTTCAAGCTCCTTCAGGCGGAGGTTGAAGCCGTAGACCTTCTTCTTGGTGGGCGGCGTCCGCGCCACCAGTTCCATTGCCACTCTCTACACATCGCTTCGAAGAAATGCAGCACCTCCACTTGTTTGTCGCCATGAGAAACCGCACCGACGTCGAGTCTTCACCCAAAGATTAGAGCACTTGCTGCGCTTCTTCAAAGGGGCCAAGCACGAACGGATTTGCATCTTCGCTCAGGGGCAGCTTTTCAATGTCGCACTGAAGCGAAGCCGTGTTTGGTTGGAAAGCTGCTACCCAGGTAAGGCCAGTCAAAGATGTTGGGATATCGCCCCTGCGCAACTCTAACAACCTCAATGCTCCAAGACCGCATCAAGATTCCGGCAGGGCCCCACGAGCGAGCTGCCCCGAAACAACCTCAAGCCCGAAACTCTCAAACCTTAAACCCAGAAGTCCCAAAACTTCCCCTTCGCCTTTAAGCCCTTAACGTCCCTTAGCATCCGTACACACCTCTATTCCCCAAACCATCCCCTTTCAAGGAAGGGCACTGGCGCCTGCACCGGTGTAGTAGGGCCCTTGCGGCGCTGGCTCCGAGCCATCCTCCGGTGGTTGTTGGGTGCAAAAGGATCCTGCTTGGCTCAGCTGGTTCCGACACATCACTGATACTCTTCTTCGTCAGGACTCCTTAATGTAGCTATATATACGGGTTATATATAGTTTAAAGCGACGAAGAACTTTTCTAGAAATACTTCTAAGCATATTCAGGTCCCTATTCATCGAAATCCAGAATCGTCGCTGGCATGGTCAGCTGTTGAACAAGCCTCTGCATCACTTTACTGTCTCGGGGAATTTGGTGGGTAAGCCTTCCTCAGTGTATCTTGGCAGATGTGGCCTGACATTTGCTTCGGTTCTGCGTCTGCTTTTGCTATCCACAGCTTTGGTCTCATGCAACATGGCACATCCGAGTCCTCGTTGAAGCCTAGTGGGATCTTTGCCTCCTCTCCGACCTTCCCGGGCCTTCAGGTTTGCGACATGCCGGACCATGAAAAATCTCAGGGGAGCAGCACATGCCTAGCTGCGCGCGAATCTGCACGACTGCCCCTCTGCCCACCCAAGCAGAAACGTAGAACACGTGTGCGTGCATGTACGGGGTTGCAAGACTGCAAGAATCTGGCGCCTCATTAAGGTGTACTCTTGCTCGATGCCAAACCAAGGATCCAAATGCTCGTACCTTGATTGTCACTGGCAATGGTCCTTTCATTGCATGCATCGGAATTCTGGTTTGGGTAGATGCAGAGGCCAGAGTCAAAGCAGAAGCATGCCCTGCAGGGCGAACTAAACAGGAAACACGACGCATGCAAGAGGAAAACTGCGCTAGGCTGTCAACGCTTTTCACCTTGCAAAGCAAAGTGGCAAGCACGTACTGCTGCATGTAATTAGTATGCATTCTATTCACGGTTGGGACTTGAATCGACAAAGCGCATCCATAAGTCTGACTGCACTTGACTGCACATACAAAATCTGTCACAGATACATACATGCACGCACTCTCCGCCTCCGCATTGACGACTCGAAGAAGTTTGACAGCAGCTGTCCTAGTTATTTGGAGTGAGCTGCTTCTCCATGATCTGCGCACAGGCGGCACGCCTGGGCTCAAGAGATTAGCATGAATGGGTTCCGAGACTTGTAAAGATGGGTGCTATTGCAATCGCAATTGTGGCTACTAGAAACAGCACTGACTGACTTGGGATGGTACTCGCAGTTGCAGTGGGAGTAGTGGTGGCAGGAGCAGGACCAGGGGCTTGGGGACGAAGGAGCTGTTGCTACTTCTTGCAGAGCTGCTGCTTAGCAGTCCTCTTGCTCCTCCCTCGTCTCCCCCACCTCTTCTCACAACTCTCGCTGGCTCCTCGCGCTTCTACTGCCACTCCTACTGCTCCGTCTGCTCCAACCTACTAGACTACAGCAACCGCAAGCAATCAGCTCCACGACTACTGCTGCTACAACTGCACCTGCTACTGCCGCGGCGACGACGACTTCGACTTCGATCTCTACTACTCCTTCTCCTACTCCTACTACTCCT